GCATCAGTCATCAGTACTCCTGAGGTAATATTTTTTCGTCATCATGCTCACCCACCGTCCAATTTTTTTTTAAGAATTCTTGAAAGTTTATGAGTGAAACGGTCATTTTTTATCGCGATGAAAATTTTCACATTCGAAACTCATCAACCATCCTAAAATTAAAAAAAAAAATCAATTTTTTAACAAATGCTTCGAACACCTTCTGTGGTTTGATTGGCTTTTTGAGCATCTTACAGATGTGGGTTGGTGAAACAGGATAAGCATTAATATTCGCGTACATAATTACGCAAGACTTGCTGCCTGGAGAAATATGATCGTCTTTAAGATTCGTGGAGTTCTGTACATTGTTTTTCCTTGCACGCATATTAAAGCAAATTGAATAGCCAGAAACGTCTTCGAAACAGCCCTCGGTCGGCTTGGTCTTTTGCGCACGTTTTATTCGAAGCCGCCTTTACTGTAAATATAATTTTTGTTGACATAGCATTGAACTCAAAGCCCATTTCATAATTATTAATTTTAGATGTTTAATAAACATAGATATTTCTTACATAAGATTCATTTCGAAGGATACTTTTTTCAGCTGAAAAAGCAAAATGATTTTCTTAAGTCATGGATGTATTCAAGAGATTCTAGAATCAATTGCGACTGGCAATGTTCATGTTTATCTCAATTCTTTCTCCTAAAATGCCCCTCCGCCTTCCTATAAAATGCCATCAACGCCACTTGTTCCAGCCTTCCCCGCTCCGACCAAACTGCTCTCTTTCCAGCTGTTTATTTTATATTCTTCGTTTTTATATAAAATTTAGGGTCTCTGATTTCGTTTTTGGTTCTCCTGCTTGAATCACGTCCTTTGGTTTCTGATATTCGTGAAAGGTGGTTGCTTTTGTCCTTTCGATGCTCTTCCGGGGGAACACCCATCTCCGGAATTCCAATATTTTCATCAAAATCTCGTCTTTTTAATCTTACAAATCTCTGTTCTGTCTGAGATTTGAGAGATCTATGTTCTTGTGCGAAGACTTTCTCTAGATTTGATGAATTTTTCAAGCCCCATGATCTGTTTCCTCCAGTCCTTCTCGGTTGTATTTCTCTACTGGTTCTACGTCTTCTCATGAATTATGCCTTTTGTTCATTGATTGATTGCTTCATTTAAATTTTAAAAAAAAAAAATCTTGTTTTTCCCAATCCCAAGCCGAGAAATTTTATAATAAAAAAAGGCTTTTTTGAGTGAGGGACGACTGCAAAGCTGGCTCGCCTATCATCTAGTTGTGAGGAAGGCTCACAAGCTGTGATATTTGATGAGAGAAAGAGAAAGAGAATGGAGTCCAACAGGGATTCTGCTCGAAGATCACGAATGAGAAAACGACAACATCTTGATGACCTGCTGAATGATGTTACTCTTCTAAAGAATGAGAATAGCCGGATTGAGATGCAGATGAACATGTACACCCAGGATTATGTGGCAATGAACTCTAAGAACACAATCATGAGGTCCGAGGTTATGGAATTGATTGATAGACTCAAATATCTTAATTCTGTTCTTCATTTTGTGGAAGAGTTCAGTGGGATGGCCATGGATATTCCTGAGATTCCTGATCCCTTGCTGAAACCATGGCAACATTTTTGTCTTTCACATCCCATAATTGCAGATGCCAACATGTTGCAGTGATGTCTTGCTTAGTTTGTCTGATGTGTGTGCTTTGCTTTCAGCTTGCAGGATCATGTCTTGGGTTTCGTTTTTTAATATTAATTTATTTCTGAAGCTTTATGCATTCTGTCTGCTTCCTGTGTGGGTTGTGACTTTGTTCAATGTATGTGTCATTTGTAGTCAATATAAATTAATCCTTTTGGATGTTGAATGCCACAAATTTTATTCAAGTTAATCCTTTTTGAGAGTAGAAAATTCCAGTTACAAATTTTCAGTCAATAATATCATCAACTCAATTTAGTATTAATGTCTGAATCAAGCACAGGTGGAGATTATGTGAATTAAGAAAACACAATACGACGCCACAAATTTTATTGTTGAACTTTAAACGAGTATAGGGACGACTCTTCATCAGTAATAAAAAAATAGTAAATAACACATAAACAGTGGATGAAATAGTAAATGTCGAAATAGACTAAGCTTAAGACGAAAACAATCTTGATAGGCCCCGCTGGAAGGGGCTAAGGAAGGGTGGTGACGACTATAAGGATGCTCAATGAGCCTTCGACAGAGGAGTGTGGCAAAGAGCGGGTTGCAGATGGCCAACGGAGATTGGACGGGTGTTGGAGGAGTTTTGTAGGCTCGACAGCCTGCTGGGAGAGGGCTAGGCGGCACGACATAGAAAGGAGGTGGCATAGGGGGTGATGCAACAACCTGGGAGGAAGGTGTGGCTCACCTGTACTACTGAATGAAGCTTGGAAAAGGGTCAAACAACCTGCTTGAGGAACAGGGAGTGCAAAAACGACAAATGAAGATGCCGAGAGGATGGAACAGAGTGGGGATACACATCACCTTGGCAAGATACCGCCCACGCACCAGACGCTGTTGAAGGATACAACCTCGAATGAGGGAGAATGCCAAGAAAACCACTAGAGCAGAAAAATCAATAAGAAGACTGGTTAGACCTAAGAAGATAACATGCATAATTTGGAGATGAAGGAGAGAAAACAAATGTAAGATCCTAAGAAGTAAGGGTATGAATAAAAGGAAGGGGTGTGCAACGACTAGGAGAGGATGCGGGCGAATAGGGCATAGGGGCAGGGTTTGATACACCTAAAATATATAGTATTTTTTTGCACATTTTTATACCTATTTTTGAGATATTGCGATTTAATGAAAGGTATTTGAGTGTTTTTCTTGTATGTACAATCAAATGAATGGAAAATGCTAAAAGAAGTGAAAAAAGATCAAATTTGGAGCAAAAATGAAGAAAGGTGCAAAAATGAACTGGGGTGCCTAAGCGCCACGTACTTCGTGCTTAAGCACCAAAGTTAGTACTTGAAGAAATATTAATTGGAGCTGAATTTTGAAGAGGTGTTTGAAGCAACCCTTGATAAAAAAAATGTGGGAAATAGCTCATGGACATGAAAATTCATTCAATTAGCTTATGAGGAGGAAACTTTTAGAAGATTCAACTAATAGAGACACCTTTTTGAAGAGACACCAAGACACCCCTTGGATTTTTATAAGAAAAGACTTAAATTTGAGTGTTAGTTTGTATTGTGAGAGAAGGAAGAGAATTCAAAGGAACTTCAAGACATTTGGTGGAGAGAATTTGAGATAAGTGTTCATCTTTGTGATTATACTTGGTTTTTAATTTAGATTTCTTGTTTGTGTGCATGATTTCTACTTCTAAACTCATGTGTGGTTGTGTTTTCTCCATGGATTCTGAGTAGTTTTCTTTATATTTTTCTTTAAAATGATAAGTAATTAAATGTTTAAAGGAAGTTATGTGAATTATTAGACTTCAATGTTGGAAGAAGTTGTGATTATTCAAAACCTTGCAATTCATTTACATCTTGATTTGGTCAATTAAGATGTTAAAACCTGTTGTGAGAACATGTAAGATCCGAGATGGTATTGTCTCAGTCAACAAATGGTTGGAATCACATATTGATATCATGAATGAGAATGTAGTTCATGGGGTTGAGTGCAAATAAATAGGCTAATTCCCCCAATTTGACTTATAGTGTTAGGTTTTGATACGAGATGTTAGCCCCAAAGTGGAGGGAGAAGAGGGAACTCTAGAGTGAGAGCTAGTATTTTCCCTGTCTAGCCGATCTTCAAGACTATTCAAACTATAGATTAACCAAGGTTCTTTATAACATCTCTAGTAAGGGTAAAGAATATTATTGCTCCTATTTGGCACAACATATTTAGTATACTTCCACAACTGAATTTCTATGTTTATCATTGGTTCATGATAAAGAAAAATATATTTTACTTATATTGTCTTCAACTTGCAAATATTTTAGTTAAGTTAGTTAGTTGTTTACTTTATTTTCAATTATCAAAAAGTACAAAAATAATCGAACTTTTATTCCAGTTATAACATCTTAACTTTGAGTAAGAATATATATTGTTAAGTATTTTGTTATCTAAAACTAATCCTGTATATATGTTCGATATTTGAGACTTAATTAAAAAGTTTTATATTACTTCATAAGGATATGCATACTTACATAATATCCCATATTGAAATATTATAAATATAATTGCATACATCACATTTTACATCTCTATATGTAGAAAGTCGGGATCAGACAACAATGGGAATGACTCAGACATAGGATAGAAGGCGGGATTTTAATATGATGGATCGGTCCGATCCTGGGGGAAGACTGTGTAGGCCTCTTATTTTACTCAACCGTACAAGCAACCCCGCATCAATATCTTGGAGGTGGGTGAGCTTCGACAACATATGTTGAAGCTTCTTCTTCCTTGTGGTAAGGAGTGAGATCTGTGGCATTGAATGTTGTCAAAATTTTAGAGTCACCTAATAAGTTTATTTGGTAGACATTGTCATTTAGCTTCTTAAGTATGTTGAATGGGTCGTCGGCTCAAGGTTTGAGTATCCCTTGTGCTCCTACTAGAAATCACTCTTTCTTAAGGCGGATCCACATGAGGTCTCCTTCATTAAAGGTTACCTTTTTCTTGAACTTGTTAGTCTGCGCTTGATATTTGTGGTTTTCCTTGGAAATTGTTTTCCAACTTCCTCGTGGATTTCCTGAAATTGGCGAGCACGCTCGGTAACATCCTTATTGATCTCTACTAGGGGCAAAAATAGGACCAACTCAAGGGGTACGATCTGGTTGCAGTCATACACAAATTCAAATGGAGTGTGTCCTTTAGTTTGACTTGTTCCTCAATTCTACACAAATTCAGCTTGAGCTAGGATGAGATCTTCTTATTTGGTGTTTTTACTAAAGGAACATTGAAGAGGATTTCCAATGCTCCTATGAACTACTTCGATCTGCACATTTGTCTAATGATGCACTATAGAACTAAATTGGAGTTTATTTCCCAATTTACTTTGGAGAGTCCACCATAAGTGGATCAAAAATTTAACTTCCAGATCAAAACTAATAGTCCTTAGAATGCCATGAAGTTTTAAGATCTCATGAAAGAAAAAATTGGCAATATGAGATGTATCTAACATTTGGTGGCACGCGACAAAATGTGTTATCTTTAAGAAACACCCAACTACTACCATGCTAGAATCCTTCTTCCTTTGTTTGAAAGGAATTTCTATGATAAAGTCCTATTTGTCATTAAAAGTTAGAAATTTTCGGTCGCTCGAATGGATATCCCGACACCCGGTTTTAAAAGTTTGTTTAATTATATATATATATATATATATAATAGAAAAAATAAAATATTACTTTTTGAGAATACACGATGGAACTGATCTTATATCTGCATTAGTTTAATTAATCGAGCACAACATCACAAGCAATATATCTACTTGGAAGAATACATACACTACTTACTGGTGGTGCTCGGTTAAATAAACTAAAGAAATAATGACATCCGTTTTAGCCTGCGAGAAACCATTTTTATGTTGACCGATAAATTCCCCTATCTAATATTACCTTGGTTCCTTAAACTCTATATAGATGTAAGCTCCTATAGTCAATTACATCTCAAATGACTGAGATCACTTACGAAAACTCTCGATTTAGATCAGAAAATATTGTCTTCAAAAATTCCAAAGGATAGGACTTTTCAAAGATCAGACCAAGGAGTGTCAAATGGGAAATACTCAAAATCAGAACAATGTTATGGAATCCAAAGGAGGAGAAACTAGAGGTCTTCACAGATTTTGAGGAGAACCTCAGTGACTTCCCAAAATCGGAACATTGTTATGGAATCCAAAGGAAGAGAAACTAGAGGTCGTCACAGACCTTGAGGAGAACCTTGGTGATTTCCCAAACTATCCTATGATTTGGCTTCAATTTTGAGAAGAAAATTATTGAACGTATATCCTACCGATTTTATTAGTTAGGGCTTATATTTGTGTGAGACGATTGCACAAATAACCTGGAAGATAGGAGGATTTATATTGTATCAGACGACAAACTCGGAATCATAAAATGATTTAGGGCTTAGATTGCATGACATGATCATGCGAAGGCTTAACAATAAAGTGATGATTTATGTTGCACTAGGAAAACAACCTCGATGGCCTATGGCTTGTTGTTTAATTCTAAAGAAATTTATTGTTGTAGATCTACTTACTGTTGTAGAAGACTACCCTCACAGTTAGCTCCAAGCTTCTTGGCAAATTAGAAGTCCTAAAGTCTAAAGGTTTAAAGGTTTAAATGACTCGTATAATTCAATCATTATTGGGGGGTTAAAGTTGACTAGAGCGACATCGGTTAGGATCACACGGTTCCTTCATTCCTGTACCACTATTTTGTTTTGAATTTACTTAGCTTAAATGAGTTGTTAAACCCATTTAAATCAAGGAGATCTCGTTAGCAACTGTGGGTTACCTCGTCTGAGGGACTCCCATAAATTCAAAAGGTCGTGTTATGAAGTTGCTTTTCAAAGGAATTATGATTACCTTTGAAAGGGTTTAATTTAATTTTTTATTTTAATTTTGAAAACCAAATATGCATGGTATGTAGAAACAATAGTAGATTGTAGTAAATGAAATGACAGAAAGTAAATAAATCTGTAAAGGTGTACCTGTCATCTTCACATTGCTCCCGTTGACATGTTAGAACTTGCAACATATATATGTTCACGGGATATTTGAATAAATTGCAAGAATAGAAAGAACAGAAAAGTTGTAGCTACCAAACCTCATGTCATAACTTGGATGGTCTTTAAAGGTTTTAATAGATGTTTTTTCTTGAGCAAAGAATA